ATTATTTATTCATTATTTATTTATTTATTTATTATTTATTTTTTAACTTATTTATATATGTATTTACCACCTGTAGTCGCTGGCGTTCAAAACTGTCCATTTGCTTCGCTTTTTGGCTTTTTTTGCGTCATTTTTTTCGCTTTTTCCGAATTTAAATGAAAGAAATGAAATGCAGTTCAAACAAAGCTCCATTTGGAGCTCCTTGGCGGAAAATTCCGCGAAAATTCGGCTTTTCGGGGCCCCTTCTGCGTCTCTCCGCATGCAGGACGGCGCCGTGGGCGCGGCGCGCGGGGCCCCCAGCTGCGCCGCATGCACGGGGTGTACGTACACCCGAAGCGGCTCCCGCAGCTGTCTCTGTGCTGCAGCAAACCGGACCTTCCAGAGCAGCAGCGGGGCTTGCGTCTGCATGCGCGGCTTCCACAGACTGCTCGCAGGTCTGCTGCTGCTGCTGCTGCTGCTGCTGCTGAGGAGGAGGAGGGGCGTGGTTGGGGAAGGGCTGCTGCTGCTGCTGCTGCTGCTGCTGAGGAGGAGGAGGGGCGTGGTTGGGGAAGGGCTGCTGCTGCTGCTGCTGCTGCTGCTGAGGAGGAGGAGGGGCGTGGTTGGGGAAGGGCTGCTGCTGCTGCTGCTGCTGCTGCTGAGGAGGAGGAGGGGCGTGGTTGGGGAAGGGCTGCTGCTGCTGCTGCTGCTGCTGCTGAGGAGGAGGAGGGGCGTGGTTGGGGAAGGGCTGCTGCTGCTGCTGCTGCTGCTGCTGAGGAGGAGGAGGGGCGTGGTTGGGGAAGGGCTGCTGCTGCTGCTGCTGCTGCTGCTGAGGAGGAGGAGGGGCTTGGTTGGGGAAGGGCTGCTGCTGCTGCTGCTGCTGCTGCTGAGGAGGAGGAGGGGCGTGGTTGGGGAAGGGCTGCCCTAAACCCTAAACCCCAAACGCTAAACCCTAAACCCTAGGTGTCTGTACACCCGCAGGCATCGACCTGTCGGAAGAAGACAGCGCAGAGCCTTGTTTGCCAAAGGTAATTAAAATAATTTTATTTTATTTTTGTTTTTAAATAAATAAATAAAAAGAAATGAATAAAAATTAATAAAAAGAATAATAGTAAATATAAATACAAACATGATTATAGTTATAATCGCAATTAAAATAAAAGAATGAAAAAAGAGCAAAAAGTGAAGTGGCGTTTAAAAGGATAAATTTTCACATTTGAAGAAGAAAAAGAAGTAAGAAGCAAGCGCTGCTGTTGCTGCTACTGCTGCTGCTGCTGCTGCTGCTCAGGTTTACCCGCGGTGCAGCAGCAGCAGCAAACGGAGCCACATGGGGGACTGCGAAGAAGCAGCAGCAGCGTGTGGGGCGAAGTGTGGGGCGCTGGGGTGTACGTACACCGCGGGGCTGGCTGCATGCACGGGGCTGCTGTCTCCGTGGGAAGTTTGCGACGCAGCTTGCATGCGTTTGCGCAGCTTTTTGCTGCTGCAAGGAGACACTTTGCTGCTGCAGCAGCAGCAAACGAAGGACTCAACTGTCTCCTTTCCCCTCAAGGACATTCAAGGAGACACTCAAGTCCTCTACGGCTCCCTCAGCTGTACATACACCTCGTGCCCCGTCGCTCTCCTCGGATTCAACTCAAGTAATCCTGCTGCTGCTGCTGCTGCTGCTGCTGCGCTTGGTCTTGCTGCTGCTGCTGGTGCTGCCCTGGGTTTTGTTGCTGCCGCTGCTGCTGCTCGTGCTCTTGCTGCTGCTGCTCTTGGCCTTGCTGCTGCTGCTGCTGCTCTTGCTGCTGCTGCTCCTGAAGCGCAACTCTGGCTGCCCCTTCCCTTCTTTTTGCTGCTAAACAGAAGGAGACACTTTGGGCTACTTGGGTGTCCCCTCAAGTCTTGTTGCTGCTATAAACCTCCGTCTAAA